GTTTTTGTTTATCGTGTGTGATGTTTGGAACCATTTGTGTTTTTTATGTTTTTTTTTTCTCTTTTTATTCCCTTTCTCGTTTTAATTTCTTTTCTTTTTTTTATCTTCTTTTATCTACATCACCTTGTCTTTATTTTTCCTTTATTTCTCTCACCACCTCGTTCTCCTCTTCCCTTGCCACGTTCCTCTCGCCTTATATCTCTGCTCCCTCTATTCCATGCATTTGCTTTTCTCCTCTCTCGTCTTTCTCGTCCCTGCTTCTTCTCTCTTTCCTTTTTCTCTGCTCTCCTCGCTTTCCTCCTTTCCTTTCTTCTCCGCTCTTCTCCCTTTTCCCACTTCCATTCCCTTCCTCCCTCTTCTTTCCTCACCTCCTCCTGCCTCCTTCCCACCTTCCCCATCCTCTCCTCTCCTTCCTTCACCTCCCCCCCTTCCCCCGTCCTCCTCCCCTTCCTCCTTCTCCCCCTTCTCCTCCCCTCCCCCCTTTCCCTCCCCCCTCTCCTCCCCTTCTCCCCCCTTCTCCTCCTTCTCCTCCCCTCCCTCCTACTCCTCCCCCCCTCCTCCTTTCTCCCATTTCCATCGTCCTTTGGCATTTGCTCCTAGGCCGTCCCATGTATTTGTCACGGGCGTCTTCGTTCGGCCAATCCGTCTGTCAAGGGCCTCGAAACCACTCTTGTCGCCTTGACCGTGTTTCACGACCTCTCCTCCTCCTCCTCCTCCTCTTTACTCCTTTTTTCCGCTTTTCATTCTTTTCTTTTTCATTTTACTGTTTTTTCTTTCTTTCTTTCTTTCATTTTTTTTTTTTTTTTAGATTGGATTGGTTTTGTTTTTATTTAATTTTCTTCGTACATGCGTGTGGTTTCTGTGTTGTACGTTTCGTTATTCTTATATATTTTCTCTATTAATGTTTCTTTTAAGTGCGCCTTTTGCGCCTTCCTTTGCTTTCTTCTTTTATTTAGATCTTCCACCTTCTTCTTTTTCTTCTTCTTCTTCTTCTCCTTTTTCTTCTTCTTCTTCTTCCTTTTCTTCTTTTTCTTCTTTTCCTCCTCCTCCTCCTCCTCCTCCTCCTCCTCCTCCTCCTCCTCCTCCTCCTCCTCCTCCTCCTCCTCCCCCCCCCCCTTCCTCTTCCCCTCCCACTTCCCCTTCCCTTACCTTTCCCATCCTCCTTCTCCTTCCCCTTCCTTCCCCTCCCCTCCCCTCCCCTCCCCTCCTCTCCCTCCTCCTCTTCGTCTTTCTCTTCCTCTTCTCTCCCTTCGATCTACTTCCCTCGCACATCATTTCCATCATCTCCATTGTGGATGTCCTCTTCATTTTCCCCCGACGCTCCTGGAATTTCACCTCTCTTTGTTTCCTTCCGTTTAGCCCTCCCTTCCTCTCCCCCGTCTTTCCTTTCACCCTCTCTTCCTCGTCCTTCTTTTCACCCTCTCTTCCTCGTCCTTCCTTTCACCCTCTCTTCCTCGTCTCTTCACTCTCTTCCTCGTCCTTCCTTTCACCCTCTCTTCCTCGTCCTTCCTTTCACCCTCTCTTCCTCGTCCTTCCTTTCACCCTCCCTCATGCTCGTTCGTTTCCGTTTCATTCTCCTTCCTTCCCTTTCTCGCCCTCACTCTTTCCTCTCTATTTCTCTCGCAGAGTCATTCTTCCCTGTCTCCTCTCTCTTTCTTCTCTTCTTTTCTTCATCCACTCCTCCCTCCCCCTCTTTCTCGCCACTCCGTGTTTCCCTTCCTCCCTCCTTCACTCCTCTCCTCTCTCCTTTCTCCCTCCCTCACTTCCTCTCTTCCTCACTTCCTCTTCCTTCTTCTCTCTTCCGCACTACCTATTTCCTCTCATTCCTTCCTCCATCTCCCACCATCACTCCCTTTTTCCGCTCCTTTTCCTCACTTTCTCTTTCCTCTCTCCCTCCTCTCCTCCTTCCCTCCTTCCCACCCTCCTTCCCTCCTCCCCACCCTCCATCCCTCCATCCCTCCTTCCCTCCTTCCCTCCTTCCCTCCTTCCCTCCTTCCCTCCTTCCCTTTCTCCTTCCCTCCGAGCAATAAATTTCCTCGCGTAATGCACCGAAGTCGTGTTTTAGCATCCAAGTTCTTCCTCTTAGCCTTTTAGCTTTGGACACGGGGCCTTCGTGTGTCGTGTGATGTTTGCTGTTATTTGTACTCTTGGTCTTCTCTCTCTCTTGTCTTTTTCCTAGTTTTTCTTTTCTTTCTTTTTTAAGAAGGGGGGTGGGGGTGAGAGCAGAGGGAGTTTTTTTTTATTTTATTTTTTTTTTGGCTTGATATTTGGGGTTTAGTATCGGAAGGTGGATAGGAGAAGAAGGTGATAGGGGTGGAGGTGGAGGAAAAAGCTGTAAAGGGAGGGTGAGGGAGCTGAAGAAGGAGAAAGAGATGGAAGAGGAGAAGAAAGAATGGAGAAAGAGATGGAGGGAAAAGGACATGGTGTTGAAAATAAAGTGGGAGGTGGAGCAGGAAGAGGAGAAGTAGAAGGAGAAGGAGAAAGAGGTGGAAGTGATAGATATGGAAGAGGAGAAGGTTTAGGTGGAAGAGATGGTGGTTTAGATGGCACTCCCTCC